AGTATAGGCCATTACAAACTTTTCTTGCCTTTCTATCGCTGGATAGTGTGGGATAGGATACGTGAAAAGGATAAGAGACGAGCAGAGAAGAAGAGGAAGAAATGCGAGGAAAGAAAAGGGGAAGGTCAGAAGAAACCGTGCGTGTTATCGTAGACGAATAATACACAATTACTCCTCGTAGAACATGTTGTTTGATGTTGGTGTATTGAAAGCAGCTGTTGTTTGGTCGAAAGTGACCTTCTGATCAGAGTATGGGGGAATAGGTACACGCTCAACAAGACGTATTGATGACAATAAGGAAACTCCTTTAGTTAATTCGCGTTGGTTTTTCTACATTTCGGCTACCCGAGTGTAAATATCCCCTCATGATGAGGGACAAATATTATAACACTGTCGAGTCGTCTTTACACCTTATGGGACCTTTTAGTGAATTGGATGGGGCGGCTATGCCACCCTATAAAATGAAGGAGTACAATCAATTTCGCAGGAGCACATGATAGGGAGATCAATTTTGTCGGGTGGGGCGGCTATGCCACCCTATAAAATGAAGGAGTACAATCAATTTCGCAGGAGCACATGATAGGGAGATCAACTTTGTCCGGTGAGGCGGCTATGCCAGCCTATAATATCAATGGGTACAATCAATCTCGCAGGAGCAAGTGGAAGGAAAATCAATTCTGTCGGGTGGGGCGGCTATGCCACTCCATAATATGAAGGAGTACAATCAACTTCGCAGGAGCAAGTGGAAGGAAAATTAATTCTGTCGGGTGGGGCGGCTATGCCACTCCATAATATGAAGGAGTGCAATCAACCTCGCAGGAGCAAGTGGAAGGGAAATAAATTCTGTCGGGTGGGGCGGCTATGCCACTCCATAATATGAAGGAGTACAATCAACCTCGCAGGAGCAAGTGGAAGGAAAATAAATTCCATCGAAACGATTGAAGTAACTCCAATCGACGAATTGATATGGAGTAGACATATTGATGCAATAACAATTCAACTACTAATAGTGACAACCGATGCCCAGTGCAACAACTAGGATCTAAGCTAGAGGAAACAGAACATTGAGGTACACTGCTTCTAGTAATCTTGCACCTCCCAGCATTTCCGCTTGGCTTCATGCTTCCCCAAACAACCTTCACTTCATTCTTCGCTTCAAGGACCATTTGAAGAGTTCGGTAGACGAGTATCATCCATTCCTATGCAACTCCGGTCACTTGTGGCGCAATAGACGCTAATTGTGTCTACAACTTTACTGGGGAGACTTGACCTAACGTGGTCACACTATATTCGTTGCTTTTCTCTTATGCAGTTGTTTTTCAAAGGGCCAAGTTCCCATTACTATCCCTGTCTGCATTTATCACGGTTCTGTTGCCCCCTAGGGCAATCCCGACTGGCGCTAATTTGTCTGTCTGTTGTTGTGCAGCGGGCATGGGTGTTAGTGAGTGTAGACTAGGAGCCTCCTCCCTTCTTCGCGCAGGGAGGGAATAATCGTATCAGGTTCGATAGAAGCATCCATTTAGTTGATGACATCATAGCTCATCAGTGTGTAACAAATGTTTCTCGTCACCAACGAGCATTCAGTTTCCTAGTGAGAAGGAACAGTCTCATGTGCTGGACTCAACGAGAGCCTCACTAGGAACAGTGTGCAGGAGCAAGTTCTCTTGTCAACAATCGTGGGAGCTGACAGGGCCAAAGTTTGAGACCGATATGACTTTCACGTGAAGAGGTGAGTTTACTCTAGTCTCCAATGAGGTATTCAACTGCATGTCCTATAACACTTATGGCTCACAGCAATGTGGAAATCCCATAAAACTATGTAGAATGAGATCGTTTCCTCAGTAACGCAATAAGCAACGTTGTAAAGTGCATTGAGGAGTGATAGACCCTGCAACCACACGGTATCCATGATGCACTTCCACCACTCGACCATTTTCCCATATATCTCCACTACTCGAGCGTAACCCAACACTCTCCAATGAGACTAGAAAAAGGTCCCATCAATTCGACTCCGAGGAAACTAACACTCCCAAGTAATGCTGTCGATACATCATCGCTTCAAGGAGTAATTCACCAGTAGGTATCCGGAACAACGACAACAGCAGCATTGGCCGCATCAACACTCATGCTAGTGTTTTCAACTTTCGATCACCAAGGCCCGCCTCATAAGTCAAACCCAGGGCTCGAGCCATGTTAGTAGCAGCTCGGACTTCCTCCTTGGTACTCGCCCGTCGAAGCTTCTCTCGAATTGATTGAGCTAGGCTGATAGGGAATAAAACTACTACATGAGGAATATATGTTTGCTTTCTTCAGCTGATCACACTACATTATGAAAAATTTCACAGTACAGAAACCAATAAGCATTCCCAATATTTCCTCACTGTCATCAACACATTAGCTCAAAAGCTGAAGCGGAACTCACTCATTATCAGCGACGACTTCCTTCTTTTTTTCTTGCTCCCTCGGCGCGGCCATACCCAGCATACTCTTCAACTGCTTCTCAGCGACAGTTTGAGGCTTATTATTACTACCTGTAGTGTGCCACTACCACGCCTTTCCCAATTCGCACATCCTCACGCCCAATCGTTTGGTGAGCACGGGCGCCCCTCTCACTAGAAAGGTGAACTCTGTGATTCCCATTGTTCGTCTGCTCCTCACGAGTGGGGGCATAAGCCGCATCAATAACCTCCTCTCGAACTCGCCCAGGGATGAGCATATCCAACTACAGGGAGCTACTGCTATCATACTCTCCTATTACTGTATCATCATTACCTCCATTTTAGTAGGCTTCTTTCCCTCACGTTTGCTCAACTTCATCAACCCCTTCACGGCGTTGCGAAGTTCTTCAACTTCCTTGGTTAGATCGGCCAACTGTTTTGAATCAGACTTGGCCATACGCTGAAGGCAATGGCGATTTTCGAAGCTTTTCAGTGTGAACTCAGTGAGCTACATTGAGATTCGCGAGCTGATCTTTGAGAGCTTTATTTTTAGTCCGGGCGTTGACCATGTCAGTGGGAGATCGTTGCTGCTTTTTAGTAGACATTCCCGAGAAAAACTTTAGTATAACAAAAGTGCTGAAATACGCGGCAAATGTATTTACTGTATATCAACTATTATTATCATGGAGTTCCACCCGTTTTACGTGAAGTGGCGTAAAACTCTGTAAAAAACGCGATAGTGCAGTAGTGGTGAACTATATTTTTGACTAGTGTTTTGCATATCAAAAACTCCATTTGTGAAGGGCATCATACTCTGATATCAAAAAAGGTATATGTAATATTTATACCCCCACTATAACGGTTTCATCCTGACTGTAGATAGAAGTACCCTAGAGAAAATAGCAATGACCAATCGAACAGAAAAAACAGAATTCTACTATAGAGAATTATACTGTATAATGTTATACGTCTCCGGCATGGTGAACGATACGACCGACTAGTGAATCGACTGCCTTCACTGCGCCATAAAATTACTCACGAGGATGCTAAGGTTGGTGGCCAAGGTCTCGAGCTTCCGCCGGCGGCCTCGGGAGTGACATAGCGCTCGCCCAAGTAATCGATTAGGTTTCCGAAGAGAGCATGAACTTCACGGTAAAGGGAGATGAACGAGTGAGGTCTGATTGAAGGAGACGCCACATGAGGTAATAAAGCAGTTCTACGCGAATACCTAAAATTCTAAGAAGTAACATCCAGTACCACGCTCCCTTGAAATAACACAAGTTTCTACGGTGGTTACCCGTTGGTGACCTTCTCCATCCTGCATCTCCTCCCTCCACCGTGCGCCTTGCAGCGATCACTGCTGCCCACGGCACTCTTCGTACAGTTCGGATTCTTGCAGCGACGACCACCTCCATGGGTGATGCAGTGCGAGCTTCCATCGCGAGCCTGAGACAGAAACGGTGTACTTGGCAAGAAGGACAAAAGCAATGGTAACTCGATAACTTCGCTCGCCTGCTTGAGACACTCATCCTGGGCGCACAGTTTCCTCTTGCTTGCCGCCCTGGGTCCGCGCGTAGCATACACGTCATGGTCATTGGTCTTCAAGCTGTAACTAACCTCTTGGCTACGTGGGTAGAGAGAGAGAAACGATGTACTAGTTTCGAGAACTCAACGTCGACTACGAGTGATAATGTGTCACTAACTCTGGTGTAGTAGCGTATTGTTGATTAGCATGCTCTACTGTGTGTACTACATAACTTTGCAGGTATGCACAAGTGGAGGAGCCGAACTAGTTGAGGTATGAGTCTACTGGTTCAAGGTAAGGGTGAGTCCTTATTCATTGTATGGAGTTTCTAAGGAAGGAGGTACGTACTCGTGTGAATGTGTATCAGACTTCGTGCATATGTACTGCAAAGCTTCTTGTTCTGTTGAGCAGGCGGACTTCGACAACGAATTAAAACGACAATAATAATAGAAATATATTTCTTATGATTTTTCGAGTGGAGTTCGTGAGATGTGTCTGGGAGTCTGGGAAGTGTGCGGCATTGGAGTTTCTGAATAGGAATTTCATACCAAATTTTGAACATATTCTCGGGGAGTGGAAATTTATACACTTTTTAGGGTAAAAAACGAGAGAATTTCCCCCTATATTTTTTAGATTTTCTTAAGATTGTGGTTTTCCGAAAATTCAGTGATTGCTTGCTTTCTTCCACCATGGGAGCATCGTGCTGTTCCTCGTCTACTATACCCGAGGGCCCCACGGACGCTTCAGTGGAGGATGCACTAGGGACTGGTAGAGGCTCTAGAAAATCGATTATATAATATTTTTCCAGATTCACAAGTTTATAGAGATACATCGTCATCTAGGGCTGTGGTTATAGGCAGCGATGCGCCCACGTTTGGAGATGAGATAAGCTCACGTATGTTGGTCGATAGCGAGCCGTTCGAACAACCTGTCTCGCCTATCATTCAATCGGGAGGAACTGCCGCCTTTTATAGAGTCAAGTACCGTGATGGTTACTCTGGTCACAGGTAGCTGAAAGGGATCTTAGCATAGCTTTCAAGTAGATTTTAGTACACAAAATTTTGGGGAATGTTGAGATTTCTTTACGGCAAGTTGTCCATTGGAAATTATGCTCTGCGATAGCCAAAGTGGGAAAATATTCACATGGTCAACGACACATGTTGGTAACAATAGAGAAAATCTGAGAAATTCCTATTGATTTTGGTGATTTTCTACCCGAACTTGTATATAAACTCCTATAATTATTGAGGAAACTTCAGAGCTCAGTTGAAGAAAGCGAGCATATATTCCTTTAGCTGTGTCTGTAGCGCTCGCATGCGTGCTGTTGTGGCAGGGCAGTGCACTATTGGATCGGCAAGGATCTTTCGAGAGCTGCTGATGAAGTTGATTTTTACGATGAGATCAATGCGCTGAGAAAAACAGAGAATGCGGCTGATGAGAGTTCCAAGTCGTGGGGAATCAGCGATTACATGCTAGAATATGCTGGTGAGAAAAGCACTCAAGTGTCCAGATCTAAAGGCGTTCTTCAGGCGTCTGCCGTCTCCGTGTAAGGCGTCCAGTGAAAGCCTCGAGTGATGCGAGTGGTAGTGCCAATGGCAAGTCGCCTGTGAGCGCAGCTGAAGTGATTGAGGAACGAGACCTCATCTTAATACGGAATCTGCATGACGGTTTCAAGCACTTGAGGTTACTTGATATTAAAATGGGCGAAGTCACTGCTGTTGCGGGCTGGCAGGTAGTCGGGAAATTAGTCGCGTGTGGAGGAATATGCACATGTGTTGGTGACAATATGAAATTTTCTTGTTGGTCTCTTTACACTCCTACCCCAATTTATGTGTATGCAAACTTCCATAGTTAGTGAGGAGCTAGGCTGAGGAAATCGGACAAATATTCCTCCAACACTTTAGATTTTGAGTGCATCTTGTGATGCGAAAATTCGGAAAGGTTGCTGTTGCCAACATATTTTGTGTGTGTAGGGGAAGAGTCGTTTCCGAGCTTGGAGGGGTCATCGGATTGATAAGCACACGAATTCACAAGTGGAGGGATTCCGTCTGGAAGGCTTTGGGGGTGCACCGTGGAGCTTGGAGAGTATGGATCCGAGTGCGGCACTGAAAGTACTGGGGGGCTCGTATTGTGGGTGAGAGTTTGTATGTGGCTGTGTGGTCTAGTGGTATGATTCGCGCTTCGGGTGCGCGAGGTCCCGGGTTCGATTCTCGGCTCAGCCCTATTTATTCTCGACATGAATCGTCCTCAGATGTACAAGAGTCAAGCCCGACGACTACAGTACCAGCGCCTGAGTGCGCAAGACTTCCTCACATTTTTTCTAGACATGCGTCATGCTTATTCTCCTGATGGTCCTCTATGCGAATCGCGCACGCCCGAGGAGTTTATCGAGCTTGTTTTGCTTCAAATACTACGGAAGCTTTGCAAAATCTGTGCTGCACTTAGCGAGGTAAAGATACCACAGATGTGGGTGGGCAGTAGTGTCGCCCTTGGATTCGATGCGGATGGGTTCGACTCTCTGGGGACACCGAATACTCAAGTGGTCCTCTTCGACTGGGGTCGATCGGAGTTGAACACACCGGCAAAGCACGCCAAGTTGGGCCTTGAGGAACAGCATAAAAGAACTAAATACTGGAACCACTACCTCTGTGCTGTTCATCGTCTCTTTTACGAGACTGCTCGAGTGTACTACGGCAGATATTTAGCAGAAAAATGGCGGAGCGTAGTTTTTGAAGTGTGGGATTACGATTCAATCACAGAGAACGACTTTGTGGGACGAGTGGCTATTCCGGTCGACTTGTCGTCATTGTCGACTGAAGTCTTTACGAGCTACGTCCTCTTCCTCATGGATTGCGACAACGATGATTTTCTAACGAGGAATTCGCGTGGGGAAGCCTCACTCCTTTACGTCAGTTTAAAGCGAATCGAATATGCTGAGCAGTCGAGGTTTGAGGAGGGTCTTTTGGTGAGGGTCGAGAAGGCCCGGAATCTGCCCATCAAGGACTACATAGGAAGCTGCGATGCGGCTGTTACCGTTGCTGTCACCGACTTGCCTATAGAGAATCCTGCCACTTTACCTCAGTGTGTTGTGGAAGAAATACGCAGTGGGAAAGTGAGTTATTGCTGCACTTGGTAATTTCCGGGTTATTATCCTTCAGTGCCCTTCCGAAGCGACTGGTCATTCCTTCCCTGCGTTGGGTTCTGCATCGTCGGCCAGTAATTGTCAATGCCTCCAGCAGACCTCGGTCGTCACTGACTCGCTGGATCCAATTTGGGGTGGCTCGAAAGGATTGGGGGAACTCTTTGAATTCGCCATTACGAGAGTGTAAGAAGGTCCGTCCTCGTCACTGCAGCTGGTGCTCTTCAGTGACGAGGCTACCGGCAAGGACTTCCTGCAAGCGATAACAGGTGGCGAGGTAACGGCCTTCGATCGGGCATTCTGTGATGGACTTTTCCCGATAAGGTGACCGCGAATAGTTTCGTATGGGCGACGATTTGGATTCTTTCAGTGGTGGTGACATTGACACCGGCGGGGCTTATCAAGATTTTGTCCGGAATTTTGTGCCGACTACCTGTGGGGACATTTCCTCGCCATCCGCGTGCTGAGTTGCTTGCTGGGCATTTTATTCTCCATGTATTGTTTTCCTATTGCTTCTTCGACTCACCACTTTCACCAGTTTTTCCCGACACTGGGGCAGCTAACCCAAATCACTAGCTTTGGATTGTCCTCGCCTGCGTGTACATAGCATTGATCGTTTGTTATTCCCTCGTATGCTGACGTGTGGATTCCAACTGTTGAGTTCAAGTTTGATCGAATGTGAATCAGTCACCAAGCTCAATTGATCCTCTGGGTGATGGTTGGATTCATATTATACTCGGCTCGTGCAAGATATGATAATAAAGAAACGAATGTCTCCTTTCGGAAGAATATGGATGGAAATGTCCGAATAATTTATGCATCGCCCTTGAAGTGGTACATCCTTCGGTCGGGCGAAAACTCAGAGGAGTACAAAGTCAGCGACCTCAAGATCAGAATGTTGAGGACAAACACCGAGGGTAAAACCGTTGTGTCAAGACGATGTACCACGCGCTGAGAATAATTCTTCATACTTGCATTGATAGTGTTGAGTACAACAGTCAGTCTGTGGAAGGACTCATGGGGATTTTCCTGGATCAGCGTCTGCGCCTAACGGGAGTCATTCCTCGAGAAGGATTTCCCGGAAAAAGCTCGGAAAACTTGCATGATACCATCAAATTTCGAGCGCTAGTGATGTATGTCCTGATTGAGCGGTTTCTAATTCAACGTGAAGCAAGTGCGCATCAGATAACTATCACTAAAGACCTGCGCCCGCCGGGAGTCGAACCCGGGACACAAGCATGGGAAGCTTGTATGATACCGTTACACTACGAGCGCTGATGATACAGCGATAACGAGGATTGAGCCGCTTCGCGATTGAAAGGATCTTCCTTGATTATTATCACACACTAACCTCGGGTTAGTAACCTGGTACACAATTACCCGGCACAGAGTACTCTCATCTTCATGGCACAGCGACGCGGTACGCTGCACGTTACTCAATTTCAGCACTCAAAGAATCCTGACCGCATGCCCTGTAACGGAGAGGTGGTCTCCAATAATATTGCAATTTATTAGTTTCGTTGCTCGTCACTCATTTACGTAAAATAGTAAGCTGACTATGCCATGGCGAGTAATGGCGCACGCGCACACCGCTCGAATCGATCATCATGGCATGCGCGTGACGGCGCGCAAAATCGCAACTCGGCAGTTACCATGATTGTTGGGCTTACTCCTCACTGCAGGATACTCTTACTCTGGATACACTGGATAGCGATGATGTCGCACAGAAACGCTTCCTCATCTCTGCATGTGTGACGACTCATTTTTGCGCTTTTATTAATTGCAATGGAGGCTCCTCATCCCACGAACATTGACTCAGCTAAGCAAGCAGTCATTTCGGAAGTCCTGGGCAAGGTGAACAGATGAACATAGTCCGTTACCATCAAACGCAGTCTTTCTATTCGAGCTTACAACTGGAAGTCTCAAGATTTCCCCAGTTCTGGTCTTCTCAGTCTGGCCAGCTTTATTGCGAACCCGCCGAGTCGAAGCACGTTTTGTGTCGACCCAAAATACTCCCAATCAAATCAGTCACCTTGGAGAAAATAGGTATAGTGCGACAAGGGCTGTGATATACTGCAAAAGTCGAGACTAGTGGCCATTTCGTTATGCATTGCCCGTTGTAGAACTCTCGACGGCCGCATAACAGTCGTCAATCTTTCTACTAGAATTCCTGATTCAGAAAAGATGGAGCAACGTATCGCAACCGAAGCATTGAACGAAAAGGAGCAACAGCAGCGTGACTGAGCCGTATGGGTAAGAGCGATACAAGAGTTCATCGTTCGTCATGAAACTAGTTCGTCATCATCGTTGAGGTAGACGATTGACTTCGAGTGAAGGATGACCATTTGATGACTACGAAACTAATGTCAACTCTGCATGTCTGCCTAACGCCAACCGATGATGACGAAATCGTGGTATTTTCTGCATTCAAATTGCCGTGGAGTTGATCACCAGCTTGGACGGAAGCGAATCTGAACAGTTCGTTGGCCAATTTACGATGACCTGCGATTCATCCACCAACAACCCGAGACGTGAGAAAATGAGGTACAGTCGATTCCCTCGTTGTAAATTCAACTTCATCCGTGTCACATCAGGTTAGACGCACTAACACCAGCACTGCGTTCGAGAGAACTACCGCTAGAGCTTTATGACAACATGAATGAGTACGAAAGTAAAACCCCTGAAGACTGGCTTAAATGGTGCGCTGAGTACGAGGCAAACGGACAACCCTCAGCTGACGTTCTTCATCTGCGTGATGGTCAAATACTCTTTCTACCGTGTAGCGTGCGGAGCTACCTTGCGATAAACAAAAAGTTCCTGGTCATAGTTCCGGGCGAAGGGCCTATGATAAAACGAGTGCCAAGACTTCGTATACGATTCCGTTGTGAAGATCCAGCGAACTTCAGTGCTCGAGTTGACTGGGCCAAAGAATGCCGTGGGAATGCATTCCAAAAGATGGAACTTGATCATTGGGTGCGAGTCAAATGCCGAGAGTTCGGCTTCAGCATGCCGCTCTGTATGAAACAACGGGTCGGTGACATGTGCCTGCGAACGTTAAAATATCTCTTGTCGAAGTCGCAGATGAAAAAGCCACAGAAGGTTCTCGGAGTTGCGGTAAAGCGTATAATACAGGGAGTGAAGGATGAGTTTAGCGCAGCTCTCACGAAGCACGCGTTGGGAATTGGTCAATCGGAATTCCATATGAAACAGCGAATAATGGAGTTAACCAGGAAACCTCAACAAGCACTGATACCTACCATTCCGGACCGATCTCATCAACTGACTCGTCGGCTAAGATTTTCCATCTTGGTGTTGCGCTCACTTCGGGTGTGCTGGGTAGCCTTAGGAGAAGCGCTAACTCTACGTCTTCTCATCACCGACTGGTCTCGACATGACCCTCGTATTGAAGTAAACAAATTGGTCTACAGTGGAAGAGGATGCTTCCGAATCAGACGCGTTAAGTCAAGTCGGGCAAGGGTCGAGAGAAGAAGCTCTCTAAGACGGAACAGCAATCAGTTCCCTGGTGCCTTGAGGTTCACTGATTTTGCGGAGCAATCGAGAGTCTATCAGAGGGGAGTTTCTAATATTGTCAACTGTTATTGGAGGGAATTCGCCAGGCGAGACATGGTGGACAATTTGGGCGTCCATTTGGACTTCTTGCAAACAAATATGCAAGCGCATCTTCATTCCGAGCAGCATAGCGTTTTTCATATGTTTGACGTCATGGTCGGGCACAAGGTCTCACAGTGGGTGGAGAGCTGCCTTGAGGAGTGGGTTGAAAGAATAGAAGAAGCAAAGCTAACCCCGACTATACGAATCGAAATTGACCTCGATGATGACGGCCGAGTGGTGCTGTCTCCGAGTCAAGGCAAAATCCTCGAAACCTTCGAATCTTTTATCGCAGGCATCGAGTCGTTCGCGAATACATTTCACAATATGGAGTCTCGGCTTTTCCCCCATTCGGGCGTAGAGAAAGAAAACCTGGTTGTTGTCGACCCGGAGTTATTGACAAGTTCAAGAGAGCGAATCAGAAGTGTCTTGGTCGAGGACCTGCGAGAAGCTCATAAGCTCGTCGATGCATACAGTGTTCATGTTGGTCCAATTAGCGAACTACTTGCGCCATGTATTGCGGCAGATGATCTCGATGCTTCCCGAGATTTCGTGAGTCAGTGCTCGCAGTACGTGGACGCAGTAGGGCAAGTCTGTCCTGGGGGCATTCGGACGCAGCTCTTCTTCGTGGACACCAGTACTGTAGTGAGAAAGTTTGCCGCGGCTATCAGGAAAGTCAGTCAGGACTTCCTTGTATCAACTGCAGAACAGCTTGACGAGACAGCTCAGGAGATAGGGTATATTTATAGAGGACTCGAGCAATATTTCAACGTCCCCGAAGATGATTATGAAGCTGAGAAACTTCTGCGTGCGGTTGAGAATATCGCTGAACGAACTTTGGATCCGCTAGAAGAGAACATTGCTGAACTTGTTGACGTTCTCAACTTCTTAGATCATTCCCAGTTCCTGGTCTCCCTCGATCTCCGGGTTGAGATATATCATCTCCTCAGTACCGCGCCCGATGTCAGAGCTGATCTCCGCCAGCTTTGTGAAGATTTGAAGTCACGTGAAGGGCAACAGAGCGAAGGCATTGATCCTGATGATTGAAATATGATGTCTTGTGCATATCCTGGATACTTGTTGAGTAACCAGTACAAGAACGCTACTAACTGCGATAAAAACTGCGCCAGAGGGCTCTCCGCCTGTCGGGCGCTCATTGCAACGTGGCATCGGGAACGTTTTTATCGACTACTCTTCGCAACTCGGGAATTGCTGAGATGCTTACTATTTACCTCTCTGAATAAAGTTATAGAGAATTCAGAATTACCTCAAGTTACCGTCCTTAAGTATCATCTTCTGCTGAGTTGACTCATCACAACCAGATACCCGATGAGTCGCAGTTGTTCGTGTTCTTGCTGATGAAAAGTCCCTCATCGCAGCTATGTATGAGTGTGTGGACTCATCGAGTTATTTGATCTCAACGAGTCAACTATATGCGCTGTGTATCTAAACTGGCACAACACATCTAGTAATCACTTCCTGTATATCAGAATCCGATAATCTGATGGAACCAATTTTCCTCGTTGGCTAATAGCGGGCTGGGCAATCGTTAACTCGAGCGGAGCGGACCGCTCCACTGGAGCGGCTCCAGGGGCACTGCACTAACAGACTCAAACTTCACGCTTCGCGAAACGTTATCAGACGATCCGAGTATGCTGAGGATGCGTAGCAGAGCGGGCCGTTGCTTCAATGGCAGATTTAGGTTCTGTGAAAACCTCTGTGATACCATCCCTGGATGCTACCCGAAAGGATCTTACTGCAACCCTCCTTAAGTTCAGATCCCGAACTTCAGAACATTCCCTCGGGTGTCAAGATCCATGAGAGCGTTCCCTCTTGTTCTTTTTCCGAAGCTTCACGTTCCAGACACTCTGTGAGGACTCCCAATTACGCCATCCGCGAGAGGAACACAAGTATGGTATCAGCCGATCCACCGTGGACCGTCCACGCCCGTCCTAGTTCCCCATCGAGGCGGAAACCAAGCTCACGCCCATATGTTGTGGAATCGGTGTCCAATGGACACTGTCCATGGGATGGTTTACTTCGAGAAGGAGGACTTCAACAGCACCAAGATCATCTATGATACCACGGCTCGACACCTGACTCCTTTCAGGTATCCCATGTCCACGTGGGGGCCGCTTTCAAGTCCAATGGTTGCAACACAACTGGTGATCATTGCAATTCGAAGAGGCACATTGGAGATATGGGCATCATCCGACTCATTTTGAGGGTGTTGCTTCCTCTACAACGATTTAGTTGTTTTCAATGGTCTTATCTCGAAGATTACACCGGGGATGCCATGAGATACATGGCGAGTTTCATCATGGAACTTCCACGGCTGTTGCGCGCACACGATCCTTTTCCTCTTCGTTTCCTCTTTCCCATGTCGTTCAAGATTCTAACAGTAATCAATTCCGAAAGTCTCGTTGGTACGTCACGTGCCGTACGTGCAATGTGGATGTCATGCTCCGCTGTTGATGAATTCCCTCTAGCACAGAATCTAGTATGCCTGGTGGATTCTTTCATATTCGTGATGCGCCAGATTCTGGTGAGCACGCGTGTTCAAAAGCTGAAGGACGCACAAGGAGTTAGCGAGCACATAGAGCAATCCGTGATCAAAGCACTGCCCGGGACGATCTGTCCCCCTAAGCTGTAGCGGTTACAGCCCCATATCTGTACTCAGGGCAATAGTCGTACTGATTCATGGTGTCTCAATCTGGTAGTGTGAGGAGACGCCCCACCAGCAGAGTTTCAATTGTGCGCTGGGCCCGACGGGCCCGGCCCGTGACGCCGTGCCGGAGTTGTTCATGCGTCACGAGTCATGCATATCGGTGTGGGGTGCTCCTAGCACTGATGGGATTCTAACTCTGGAATACTAGTTCGCCAATAACAAGTCGCCATTTTGCCATATCCAGCATGATGTTGGGAGCCTCGTTTATAAGATTGTCGTAACGGCTGGTCCTTAACACCCGTGTGAGCGGTCGTCTTCGGGGAGTCTCTTTTCCAGTTTCCCGACGAACTTTAACTGTTCATCTCGCACTTATGCGCTTCACTGTCCTCATCCTTGCTGCGATCGTCATGGCCGCCTCTGCTATCGTCGACAGTCCCCCTCAAGACGAGCCTAAACTCGATGGCACCAATTGCGTCTGCAGTTCTCACGGCTGTATTTGTACATAATTTTTTCCAGCCCCAGTTACTGGGCTCATGCTCTTGGTACCATTAGTGTCCCTTGAGTGCTGATCGGTATTAACTCGGTATAGCTATTTGCCTGAGGTCGGTGAGATCTGCCCAAAGCGACAATATTCGATCAATTCTTTGTTTCCCTCATTTTTACTCGACACCAGCATCAACTGGGGAACCAATTTTGGGTTGACCGTGAGTGGGTTGAGGAGGAAGAATGTGCAATGAAGAATATAGTACCATATGTGTGTGCTAATCACTAGGGAACCCAAGGCAATAGTTACTGGAATCCAGAGATTCTATCTACGATCATACTTATGAAATCGTCAACTGGCTTCAAGCTCAAGGTAAGATTCCATAGTTGAGCACTCTGCCAGCTTTAAGTCGAAAACCGTTGGCGGACATGAAGTCTATATGCTAGGACTCCTACAGTGACGCCATCTCTGGGACTTGAGAACCTGATGATCAGCTAGTTTCATTTGCCTGTGCGAACAGTCGACTCAGGCTTGTTGTCATCTGCCGAAGAGTACCACCAGCGTCCACGTATAAGCACGTCAATGAGGTAGATTCGGTCCGATGCAAGAGAATATCCCTGCCGAATTTGCTCAGGAGAAACCATCAATTCCGTCGCGATGCGCGAAGTTATACGAAATCTTGATCTCGCGACAGGACTTTCGATTAAGTCAAAGGTAAGTGGGAAGTTCAATACCGAATCGAACCTCGTTGAATATGCATGGGGGTATAATATCCCTATGCGACAGTTGAAGGATAATGGCTCGGGTATCATTCTCCATTATTAGTATGTGTCTTGACTGTTCTCGTAGTCAACCTACATTGCTTTCGTCGTCAACGGTGGTGTTGACGATAATATGGGAGAAAAACAATACAGCGATGAATCGCTACACCTAGAGTTACATCCTCTGGCCAGTGTCTGGAGAACTTCGTATGCGGTTCCCATAATAATATTTTCTCTTGACCTCAATGGAATATAGCGCTGTGAATGAACCCCTGTCCCTGGCATGAGATGCCAAAAGGGAATTGCAAGAATAACTCCATCGGCTTATACATTCGGGTGATTGTCGGTAATATTCCGCATATTTGTCCAGTAGAACAATCAGTCCACTTCAACCGCCAACGACCGTCCTCAGTTGGAGCCATCAGGTGTACCAAGTTTCAATTACGCGTGACAGCAGTAATCTGATCAACATACGCACAACATCCTTTTTTTAAAAATGACATTTCCATCAATTCTAAAAACTTCATGCTCCGGTGGTCTCGTAGAACTTCCACGGTAGAAGATGTAGACGGTCCAGATGTAACACTTGGGTGTGCAGAGATGGTCAACATAGTACTGTTATCATCTGTGATATCATTTTTTCCTTGTCGATAGTCTCATCTTCTGCAGCATATGCTGGCTTGTTCGGTATAACATATGGGTTATGGATATCGTATCCAGGATATGCTTTCTCATTCCCAAATCTTCCCTTATGTGAGGATATCCAGTCGGTTAGATATACTCGGGGGTTGGAGTCACTTAAGAACTCAAGTCAGGAAAGGGTAGTGTAGGGTTAGCTACGGTGGAAGGTAGAAGGAACTCAGCAGAAGTACACAAGACTTGATAGTCCGTAGTACAAAGACTCGAAAGTTCTTCCTGGAATTCCACAATGAGCAAAGAGTTAGCTACAGATTAAAGGCGAGCGAGATCTACTCTGTTCCTTACGGGAACAAGAAGATAGACAGTCCCGGAGGGCACACGAGACAAATACCAAGGTAACTCTAGCTCAGGGGTGAGCTAAGGAAAGTACATGGCAAGTACTCAAGTAGTCCAAGCGAACACCATACGCAACGTAGTGGCGTAAACAATAGTGGACGAGTCAGGCCCAGAGAAGGATTGTGCGGGTGCTCCAAGAGCACAATGCACACACGTGAAACGACAAACCAGGTCACGTGAGGAGTCCACATCACATACCTCCCCGCCTAGCTTGGACTACGGTCTCCAACTAGGGAAAACGCCAAAAATATAGCTATGAAAGAAAGCGTGCAAGTCCAGTATAGAAAGTAGAACTACCGAATAACGAATTGGGCACCTTGATCATCAAACAGCAACTTCGACAATTGTAAAGAGTCCTACTAACTACATAGATGACTTCACGGGAAAATCAGATTAAAAACTCTAGACGAGAGGAAAGAAGGTCCTAAGAAAGTCCTTAGTACCAAGAGTCCTCAAGTCTTCTCTTCCTCGACTCCGAGGTAGGAGACGCTTCAGCAGGGCGTGATGACGAAGTTCTAGGACAGTCCTGGGAGTAGGCTTGACTTAGCTCCTTGAGAGTATCGAAGACACCATCGACAGTGGCGGGAGCTTCGCGTAACTTCTTGTACAGACCGGGGTCCTCGTCAGCCCAGTAAGTCCCAGCACCACGATGAGCACGGTCCACAGCTTCCCAACTGGTTTTGCACCATTCATCATCACGCAACTTGAAAGCAGCCGGAAGATACTTAGAAGGGGAACCCCTTAACCCAGCAGACGCAGTAGAGTCCTGTTGAAGAGCCTTAGTGACAGCAACGGTCTTGTTGTGACCCAGAAGATGACCATACTTAGCCTCATTCACAGTAAGTCCACTACGACGGCCCTTACCGTCCCGTACACGGGAGGTGAAGCTCTTGTCCGACCTGCCAACGAAGAGCAGGGTACCTTCACGAATAGGACAGTCCGCAGCTTGTCTCATGAGCTTGAAAAGTCCTTCTTCGCAATGGCGTCGACAACAGAAGACAAGATGAGCGTTAGTAGAAGGGTAGCCCTTGGGGTCCATGTCCTTAACCAAGTTAATAGCCATGGCAGGTAGAGTGTCAGCTTCCATACACCAACGGAGAAGTCCACCCGCTGTAGGTAACCAGTCCCGATAAGGACGGTCCTTAGTCGGTCCAGCGAGAAGTCCACTCACGAAGAGGACACGCCACCTAGTTGTTGAGGCAACAACGGACGTTCCTTATCAGTGTCCTTGTCAAGGAAACGATGACGATGAAGCCAACGGTTCCTTCCAGCAAGGGGGGTAGGTGGATGATCAAAGCCCATCGCATGAACCAAATCTTCCACATGACGACCAATACCAGTGGGTTCATCACAGTTAACCAAGTCCTCCATGGTGGGAATCATGAGGTTTGGCGGTTGAGGAGCCCTAGTAGAAGTCCTGCCGGGAGTCATAGTTCCACGTAACAAGGAAGCTTAGAACAACCACCAGTACGAATAAAAGTCTTAGTACGACAAGCCCTTAACTATCTCAAACGAAGCCACCGTCAGAAGCATCGAGCAAAGCCCAAGCCAATCGAATCGTCTTGGCTGAAACTGCCCACACGCCGCACACGCCCAATAACTGCACGCATGCGTTGCCTCTGGCGTCACGAAAGAGATAGGCTAGCGCACAATTAGTTGCTCGTTGTGAACATCGAACACAATAATAACATAAGTCTACCGAATAGCTGGTAGGACCATACACCGTCGTAGCCAAGCTAACCAATAGCACTTATAGAGCCTCACAATGAGCCAGAGCAAGGGTGGAGCTCTCCAATCCGGCCAAATTGTGTAGCCCCAGTCTCCTCGTCCGGAGACATTGTGACCTCAGGGTTCATAAACCCTCAGCGCGCGCCCGATCAGTCATACCGAGAGCCTTGCGCGGGATCATAGCCTTGGACAAGTCCTCGACCACAATCCACCTTCGTGTCATGCCATCTCGTAGTTCTCGTAAGAGCAACCCTTTCCGACAGCAGACCAACGAAGTCAACTCACCAAGATAGTCGAAGTATAACTACAGTAGAGCTACTTCAGCCATCATTCTAGTGACAGGGAACTCCTTGAACTCAAAAGTCCAAGCCATCGTTCCAGAGTGGCATCATTGCTCAAAGTGGAATCCCAGCACGGAATACCACTTTCGAGACATGCCCGTGTGTAGCCGTTCACAAGGAAGCCACAGCATAAGTGTACAAGCACGACTGAATACATCCATACAGTCAAATAAATCAAGCAACCCTGGGGCCTTGCCCCAAGGAGCAACACAGCTAAGCCCAGCTATCTTCTGCCAGAGGCAGAAGGGCTGAACCTAGTCGGTAGTCGGGACACACGTCGGGGACGATCCCTAGCCAGTTGCCAGTCCGACGGGGGAACGTCAGTAACTAGAGCCATAGGAGAAGCTACGGCCCTGGTAGATTCGTCGCCATCAGCGTCGTCCACTTCACCTTCGGAATCACTCTGGTCCGAGACCGCTGAGAGGAATTCCGGTGAAGGAGCCATGACCATACTACTGTCAGTGTCGTCAACATTACCACCAAAGTCCACGTTAGGTGAGGAGGTCGCCGAGGAGTCTTCACCTATAGGTAGCGGTTCTAGTGGAGGTAGTTCACCCGATGAACTCGATAACACCGAACTATTAATAACTGGAGCGGGTCTTGAAGCTTCTTCCTGAACCAACTCTTGGTCCCGAAGTCCGCTTCCACCCGATGCTTGAACAGAAGGTCTACGATTATCGTCGTCCAGACGATGATCCGTATCTTTTTCACCTCTCCCCTCCCCGCGTTCTTCCAGCCCACTATCTAAGATAGCAGTCGGAGAAGATTCCAAGTTCGCAGGCACTGAAGGAGTCGATGACAAACTCGGCAGTTGTCGATGATCAGGAGGGCCACGCAAATCCTCCTGTCCTGCAGAGGAAACCTTTGGGGGGTCTACCAAAGAAGTCGAACTCATCGAAGCATCAAACTCAGCAAAAATAGGAACTTGGGGGGCGGGAGGTGGGGGTAACTCTGCTACTTGTATTAGGACCTCTGGAACATCCATCGGTCCTGCAAAGGCTGGAATCATCATCCTGGCCTCAGGAGGAAGGTCGAGGGGCTGTAGAGGGTCCACCAGAAGATGGTCCACACTCACGACTTTCCTACGATTAGTAGCTGGGTGCACAATCTCAACCGTCTTGTCTTCTAAACCGGGAAGTAACGCAGCCACATACCAGTCTGCCTCCCATCGAGGAGATAGTTTATTCGCTCTTTGGGGACCTAACGTCTCCAGACGAACTCGAAGCCCAATAGTAAATATTCGTTTCTTCGCCTTAGTATCAAAAGAGGCCTTATACGCAGCGGCTGCCTTTGTCGTCAATTGATCCATAGCATCAGCAATAGTAGCTCGCACACGTGCAATGTACCTCGTGTACGCCTCGGGGTCATAGAGCATAGTTTCTGCATGATTGAGCTGGGGGAACCATGAGGAAGGGGCTTCCCTGCCGTACATAAGATAGAATGGCGAAGCCCTGGTTGACGAATGGATACTCGTAGTATAATGCCATACGATGGAGTTGAGATGAGCCAGCCAATCATATGTCGTAGCCACATGTACCCGTAGCAATTGTAGGAAGGTCTGGTTGAACCTTTCAACTAGTCCATTCCCTGCCGGATGATACACCGAGGCCTTACTTTTCTTGATACCCAGAAGTCCGAGGACATGCTTGAACATCCATCCTTCGAAAGGCGGTCCTTGGTCAGAATGTAGACGTAAGGGTGGTCCAAAGAATAGGAACAGCTGATAGAGAGCCTGTCCCACATCTTTCCAAGTATGTTGTCGTAGAGGAACGACATGGGCCCATTTAGTAAAATAATCCTGTACCACCAATAACGTTGAGATACCATCTGCATTCTCCGGTACCGATAACAGGTCAACACCGATAGTTTCCCAGGGACGACCAATAGGCATAGGAGTTAATGGCGCAGGTGCTGGGGCGGGTCGCTTGGCGTTAATACAAGACGTGCAACTCGCTAAATGCTGCTCGATGTCCTGAGCCATGCCTGGCCAATAAGCAAATCCTTGAACCTTGTCGAGCATACGTTGGAATCCACCCACATGGTCCTCATCTTCATGGAATCGTACCAATAGATCTGAACGAAGGGACGGAGGTACAACAGGGACCCAACGCGCTTCCACATAGGGGGAAGGTTTCATTTCTCGTACCAAAATACCATCCGATAGCCCCAACGTACGCCAGATACGCTTAAACGGCACAAAATTAGGGTCCCTGAGTTCTTCCCTGCGTAGCGGAGACGGGTCTGCTACACGGAGTGAAACCCTTCCTATCACCGGACAATCGGCTTGAGCCGTCTTCAACTCTTCCAGAGAAATAGCTGGATGCAGAGTAAGGGCCCCTAGGACAGGTGGTGGGCCACCACCCGTAGGGAAACCTCCACGCAAGTCCCGATAACCAACCGAGTCCACCATCTTCTCGTCATCCAGACGCATAGGCATAATAGCTCCAACCATCTTGGTGGGGTTAGCCAACGTGCCTTCTCCCTGCTTCTCCGGTAGTCGAATCCGTGACAAAGCGTCAGCTCGCACATTGGTGCTTCCAGGGATGTACTTAACAGTAAAGTTATACTGCTGCAAAGCCAGGCACCACCGTTGTAGTTTAGCTGACGTAGCCGTTTGAATCCACTGCAGTGGTCTGTGGTCCGAGTAGATGGTCACCTCTAGAGGATAGCCCAGATGGAAGTGTCGGAACCGATCTAAGCATTTCATTAAAGCATAGGCTTCCTTCTCGTATGCGGGCCAATTTAACTGGGAGCCCGTGAGCGTCTGACTGAAGAACATCAGGGGTCTTCCATCCTGTTCTATGACACCTCCGATCGCAAAATCTGAAGCATCACAGACAATCTGGACCGCTCTCGTAAAGTCCGGATAGTCCAGACTGGGTAATCCAGTTAAAGCCTGCTTGAGGTCGTTGAAAGCCTGTTCTTGGTCTTGAGTCCAGTGATCTCCCACCATCTTCTCTAACTTTGCCGTCTCCTTAACCAACTGATGAAGGGGCCGTGCTCGGTCCGAGAAGTGTGGTATGAAGTGGCGATAATAACCAGCCAAACCCAAAAATCCACGCAGCTCTGTACACGTAGTAGGCGTTGGCCATTCCACGATAGCTCTGACCTTTTCTGGATCTGGTCGCATTCCATCAACACCGAAGATATGGCCCAAGTAATGAACCGATGACATGCCCAAACTACATTTCTCACCCGAAAGGGTAAGTCCTGCAGCTCGGAGAGCGTCAAAGACCTGGCGTAGATGGTCTAGGTGTTGCTCCATAGAATCGGAGAAGACCAAGATATCATCTAGATAGACTCTCACAAAGGGTAGATGGCCCAAGATGAAGTCCATTAACCTCTGGAACCCCGCGGGTGCATTACACAACCCGAAAGGCATCCTCGTCCACTCATACAAGGGAAATCCTGGCCCCGGACAAAAGGCCGTTTTATACCTATCACCAGCACGTACAGGCATTTGCCAATAGCCAGACCTTAAGTCCAACGTAGAGAAGACCCTTGCTCCGGCCAGATGTTCCTGTACATCATCTGGCCTAGGTATGGGATAAGCATCGATAACGGAGACTTGATTAAGCCTACGGTAATCAATGCACATCCTCACAGCACCATTCTTCTTGGGAACGTAGACACAGGGGAACTTGTACGCCGATGTTGATCGTTGGATAATTCCATCTTTCTCCATCGTGTCCAAGGTCCGGGTGATATCTTCTCTCCACTTGTGGGGAATAGGTCGAGGCTTCTCGGCTATAGGTCGAGGATCAGTCAACGGGATTGAATGTTCCATCACCGTAGACAGTCCTGGCCGATTGAGGAATAAATCAGAATACTCCTTGCACAAGCCCTCGTACTTAGAATTGTCCAATTCCTTGTCCGGGAGTGTCGGAAACGTAACAGATTCGTCATGGAAGTCCGGCACAGCAAACTCAAGGGTTTTAGCTAGGTCATCCCCTTGGAGACCATCATCGCCTGCACCCTTTGGAGGCCAATTCGTTGAAGGAAGCGGTGTGGACAACGCCGGGTCACGTTCTGGTCGGAATCGAGCCTCGATTATCGAGGTGGCGACGACGAAGGATTCTCGCCATGAGAGGGGGAAGAGTCGGAATGCGGAGAATCATCACCTGGCAAGAGGGCCCCCAAAACTGGTTTCCCTGCATGATGATCCAAATCCGACACGGCAATGACCCAAATTCCAACGGGCACTCTATACGATGATTTAGCCCCCTTCCCTTCGTCCATTAAGACCGACACGGAAACATCTGCTGACCCTTGGGATTCCTCGTCGGGGGTAGTCTGTACAGCCACAGACACCCTCTTCGGAACCTCAACTGGTCCACTACCTATCATACCCTTATTTGACTCGGCTACTACCCGGTCTCTGGCCTGAACTGTAGCCACAGTTCCGAGCAAAGGAATAGTTCCAAAACAAGGGTGTACTAGAGGAGCCGAAAAAGATGACGGTGAGCCCTCGAATCTAAGAGGCACTCCTGAAGAATATCGGGGCTCCATCCCGAAATTCCTCATAAAATCATGTCCAATGACAATCTTGTGAGCCAGATTACTCACTACAAGTACTACGATCTCGAAAACCGTAGAGCTAGCCTTGGTATTAAATTCAGGGGTGGGCGAATCCCACAGTTTCAATCGTACACGACTAGCTCCCAGAACGGTAAAAAGGATTCTCGTCAATAGTAACAAGTCCCATAGCGGGACAGGGAATAATAACAGCATCTCCCGGTAAGGTTTGGAGATCAACAACCGTATAACAACTACCCGTGTCAATGAAGGCCTTCGTTACCGGAGACACTTCACTGGCGGTGGTTAAAAGTGCGTGTAAAAATAATCCAACCTCGAGACCAAAGGTCCTGAGGCTGATAGTTGGGTCCGGCGGCTGAGGACCCCTCATCAGCCGCCGATCTAGTTTCCCGACTCGCGTAGTCCTTCCCCTGAGGGAGCCTTCTGGGCTTTCAGGAGAGACTTGGGACATTGGCGAGCCAGATGACCTTCCGCACCACACATATAGCAACCCTTATCAAACTGTTTGAGAGGGCAGTTCTTCGTAATATGACCAGCCGTGCAGATTCCACATTTGGGCGAGCCCGAATACCTTGGACGTCCCTGAGGAGTCCTTGCGGCTACTTGCTTCTCCAAGGCGGTGATCTTCTCTGTAAGCTTGGTTATAGAGTCCGAGGGAATTACCGGCGATTGCGCTCCTGTGACAGCTGCCATGACCTTAGCCAACTTGTTGTCCAAGCGGTCCTCAAACTTTTGTAACGTAGACACTGGTAGAGCAGAGGTACCCTGTCCAGAGTCCGTGTAATCACTGACGATATCGACCATTTCTTCAATACTTGTTGGCTTAGTCTTCCTCAACTCCGCCTTGGCCGCCGGAGGCGCCACAGAAACAAGCTTGTCCAAGACCATCTGGTCGATAGTAGCTGCAGATAGCCACTTCTCAGGGGGCAACTTGCGGTTGTATTCTTCCAACACTCGACGTGCTCGTGCTAGGAAGACCGAGAGATTTGTCTCGCCGGCCCACTTCAGGGCATAGAACTTCTCGAGGGAGGCATCAGTCGTGGTCCGCGCGAAGACATGAGACAGAGTCTGACAGTCCTTCTCGAAGTCGTTCTTAGAAGCATACTGATCCCAGCTCTCGTAGTAGTCGTCGGACAAATACATACCCAACCGAAGAGCTTTAGTTGCAGCACTCCAACCAGCCGCATTGGCGGTATTCTCGTAACGCCGCAACCAAGCTCGGAAGTCCGTGCCACCATTATAACGCTCAGGCATCTGTATCGATACCCTAACGTTCTCCTTGGCCGAAATAGCACCACCATTCGCAGGAGTAGGTGTTGTTACGCCATCCGTGGCCCGGGCCGACGCAGAAGAAGACGACGTGGAACCCTTCAGTCTCCCGACCTCAGTTTCCGCCTGCTCATACAAAGCATTGAGGGTCCTTGCTTGATCGAGAGCCTTGCCAACCATGATATTGATGACGTTGTGCGTGTGGGCGATTGGGGACGGCACTATTACCCGAAGGAATAGAATTTGTGGATGGTGTAACCACAACCGAACCCTTGCCGACGCTGGCTGCGTTGATACCGCGAGCCTTACAACCCCAAGTACTAGTTGATCGAACCGACGGACTCTGCCTTGTACTGACGCGTGACGTATCCTCAGTGCACTTGCGAATAAGTCTCGGAGAACGGCGAACACCCTCTGACATATGAGCGGCCTCACTACGTGCTCCACTTCGCGTTAGAACCATGACTACTATCAACTCAAAGTCTGAACTACTGGATATACAAGCTACCTTCTGACCAACGTAACGTGCTTGCACCGTAACTAGACGTCAGTTGCGTACCTCAACAGTGCAGTAAGTGAACCAGGAACTCTGTAGCGGTCCAGAGTTTAGTACACTCAACTACCGAGCTTACCAACAACAACTGCTCAGCTTCTGCTTCACGCAACGCGCAAAACAGCCGCTGCACGCAGACACAATGTCTCGCGCACTTACAGACTTAAGAATCCTCAACGTTGGAAGAATGCCACTGCGGTATCGCACATTGCCCGCGTGGTACAGTGGTACCAAACAACAGTTGAGATACTTCACTACGCAACTAAGACCAATTATATACATAAATAACAGTATGACAAGTTGTACGCATACACCATCACCGTACGTAACACACTTGCTATGCAATCAAAGTACGACACGATGAGCGAATCAGTGACGCGATACAAAACCTTCTCAACACTGACACTGTGGCACCATAACAAGGGGAAACCACAGCAGAAAATAATGAAAGATACTTCTATCATCGACCTTATCCTCATCTTTCACCATATCCGACAAAGTGTATCATAAACCCATTAGTCCCATGAGCCAAAGTCACCGTACTCTCCAACCTCAGAGGAGCTCGACGAACTACCTTGCTGTTCAGCCTCACCATTAGAGCCCTTGTAACAATAACTCTGCTCAATCTTGTGAACAGCTTGGACAGCAGCCTCAGCGGATACACTGTTAACGTCCAACCAACCAAAGATCCACTCCCAACGACGGAAGGTACTAATAGCCATCGGATCAAAGTTGCTTGGCTCTAGAGCAGAAAGAGCAGCCGCGTTACCCTGAGGATCATCACAGTAATAGTTGTACAGACACCTCCAGAAGATGGTCTTGTACATAGTAAATACCCTCATTAGACTGAAGTAGACCGGCTTAGTCAACGCTCTAACCCTCTTGTCGTAGGAACCGCCATCAGTCACCGCACCCGATGCAATAACAGGAGGACGATGAGGATCAATATCCCAGAGACCTAACGCATCATAGGAGGTCAGTACCACCAACATCCTAATAACGTGACCCACAGTACACAAAGTAGGACTACGCACCAAAGCTTCAGAATCCATATCCAATGCGTTGATAACATCCTTACCAGCGTAGCGACTGCGAAACTTCGTCCTACCGTGTAGAACAAAGAGACGTAAGCTAGGTTGCATAACCCCCCAAACTTCTGGTAGTATCATAACAGACCTCAGTACCGGGATATTCATAACCAACCATTCGAACGAATTCATATCCGCCTGCTTGAGAGAAGGAACCGCCATAAACCCCAACCAATCAACATGGAGATAAGGTAAACGGTTACGACTCTTACTAGAACCAGCACCTTTTATAGCATCGGAGGTATACTGATAATTAATGGTGGGACAACGGAATCGTTGCTGATGGACCACATCAGAATAAGACACATTAGGGGTCAAAACCACATGACGCAACTCATCAATAGGCTTAATACCCGTATCACCATCGATAGGGCTTCTATCACAAACCTTCTTGACCAACTTTTCAAGAACTTGACCCCTCTTATCAGCAACATCCTTGTTCTGGTCGGTATACTGAACTGCTTCATCCAACAACTCGATGAAGGTAACCATCTCCTTGGTATCGATAGACTCATCCTTACTAATCTTCTCGAAGCGAACCATCAAATCATCGATAAGCATACCCATTATCGTAGAGAATGAGAAAAAACCCAGTAAAGAGAGCACCTGTATCAACACAGTAAGTGCTTCTCAACCCTCACAGATAGATAACCACCAATAGAATACTAGCGGCTTCAATCCGACGGATAAACGCGAGATATCGAGAGAAACCCCTCGAACAACAAACCCGCGATAAACCGTTCCTCAAGACTACTGAGCGTCACCCAGTCTATACAGAGCTGAGGACGTAACACTCGAATACTCTACTGACGTCTAGAATTCCTCAACGTAGGTATACGACTCACACTCCCTTCGAGAACAATGAAGGAACAATGAAACGGCTCGCAACAGTAACCGCGCGACCGAAAATAAGGGAATCGCAAGAAATAACAAGAGCGCAAGTTCAGCACGCCTTAGGCAAAACGGCTGAAAACCAGATCAATCTCCAACGCAGAGAGAGACCCCAAGCACCCCCGGTGTGCACGTTCGTGGTGGAAATAATCAAACAATAATAGATAATCTACTGACAATTGTGGAGGGATAACCCTCAACTAGTAGCAGTTAAAACCTCACATCTCAAACCTTAATAATCACAATAGCAGTTTATCATCGCATCACAATAGTCAGAAGACAACCTTATTTAAACTATAGAGTGACGCGGCTCAAGACGATCTTCAGCAACTCCTCCAAATCTTCACAACGTCGCCTTGTCCACATCGAACCTTCGGGCTTCACATACACCAACTTGTCTAGAGTGGTAGTGAAGACACCCTTATCCTTAACTGGAGCAACCACAAGACCATGATCTTGAACTAACAACAAATAGTGGTCTTGATCGGACTCACCTTTCCTGTCATATGGCCCAACCAAATCGGCACCAACCACTTGCCACAAACCACCAGTTACCAACTCTTGAACTTCACTAGTAATATAACTCATCGATCGCACTGCCCTCGCCTTCAAACACGGAACGCAAGACCTTAGAGTTGACTTCACTAGTCGAGACATACCCGTTCGGTCGAACCTCTTCTGCAACTTGCGATATACCCGAGCACCACCCAGGTGGATGAACGTATAATGGTATATCACCGCCAACACTTGAACCACCACATCAGAGTAATTCGAAACCCCTAGGTATACAACACCTCGACCCGTTAGACACTCTTCACTATTCTTCGAGCTCGGCCGTCTATGAATCAACCCATCATGATCTAGATAACAAATCCGCGCAAACCTCTCAATAACTGTAGCGCGCATACCCAGATCTTTTCTACTCGCGTCCCCGCGTAAGTAATCGGCAAATTTCTTCAAATCCTCATCCATCTCTTGACACCTCCTACTACATTTCAGCACACAGTCTAAGAACTCTTCCTCCCCGAGTAATTCCTCAGTGGCCAACCCTTCCTGCGTCGCAAACCTCATGAGTGCTGCCAACTCCTCATATTCTTCTCCTACAAATCCTTCCAAGTCTGGTAAATTAATACCATCCTCGTTGACAACCATCACGTGGCGACTCCTTTCCACCTTATCTTCTTCACCCTCGGCGCGGGAAACCACCGTACAACCCTTGGAAGAAATAGAATCCTTGTTCTCGTGGTCGACGTCACAACAAGACCCCTTGGACTCACCGTCGTCACACCTTACATCTTCCGACTCGGTATCTTCTATTGGAGACTCTCGATGGTCATAGACCACAGTTGAGGTCGCCGAGACCTTAAGAACCTCTGATACCCGAATCGACCTCCTCAACTCCACATTTGCTCTAGTAATACCGTCGGCCAAGTTCAACTCGGACGGGATATGTCGGATAACCACATCAAACTTCTTACATAGAGCTCGAATCTCCTCCAACCGTCTCCTTTCCGGGGCTGGAAGCTTACGATCATTTGACGGACGCCTGAGTCTATAAATGGTAATCTCGCTATCACATAACAGTAAGACCCGTCGACCCTTATACTGTGGAGCTAAACCTTGTAGAGGAGCTTGCAACGGTCTCAGTACGGTAGGGATGGGTAAGTAACTAGACGCAGATTGGAGGTACTTCAGGCCATGATGCAAAGCGACCAGCTCTTTACGCGGGATAGACCACGTAACCTGACCTGCTGGAAATAGCGCACCCTTAGCCATCAACCGACTATTCGAAGTATCACCCGTTGTTCTTACATCCACACCCCATGCATCGCTAGACGCATCCGTACTCACCATCAAGGACTCGTTATGGAGGTCTACAAACCGCTGTGTACCCAAACCAGCACACTGTCTTTGAGCATCAAACAACCACCTCCGTAACCTTTCTAACAACTCCTTATCCTTCAACACTTCGGACCAGTCCTTGACGACCTTGCAAGTGTCTCTCCATAGGAAGCGACCCTGCATATCTACCTCCAGTAACAACCCCATAGGATCGTACAAAGAAGATAGAATACCGCATGCTCGCCTCTTGTCGACCTTACCATCCGGCGGAGTACCGGAACACACGCAGTGCAACTCGTCGACCTCAGTGATCACCTCATAACCTAGGAGGTGACCAGGAGCATTTGCCGTACCATCACTCTTCTCCTTCCGTCCACCATGAGCCGTCTCTAGATCTTTTAACGGATCGGTACACAACCCATGACCACGGAATACGTAGGAGACGAAATCCCTAGCAGTTCGAGCCTCACGATCGGTATTTCCACCGAAATATAGGTCATCAACGAACTTCTCGAACTGTATCACCCTATGTACCGGAGGACCCGCTCGAATATATTTCACCGCTAGGGGCGACGCCCTTACCAGACAGTCAGAAACCCTAACCGGATCTAACCTTCTTGCGTCTACCACGTCCTCATTCCCTGGGGGTAGAGAATTCTTGATACCGACAATCTCCTCGATAATATCATAGCCGCACGCCTCCAACATATTTGGTGCTGTGGTACTACCAAAGGAAACCCTCAACCACAGGACCGTGTAAGGGCCTATACATGTATAGGAACGATAAGGGGTATCCACCAAAGACGTCACCATCTGGCAAAATGCCTTCGAGACATCTGACCCTATTAAGTGGCGATAACCTCTAGTATGCAATAAGACGCCCAGCAGATCACCTTGGGTGCGACCTCCCTTGAGACAAAATTTATTCATCTCGCGGAAGTCCAATACAATGCGGCACGGAGTAGTCACATGACCAGTACGGAACACGGCATGTGACGGCGTAAAGTGCTTTGGTAAGGTAACCACGGTACCCTGGAGTGCACTACCCTTGGCTAATAGATCCCAAGTCCTCTGACACTCCGTAGCAGTTGGGGACCTCATGCAATTACCCTCCAGATTATTCTTGACAATGCCGCAGAAACCCTTGTTAACGTACACACCCAAAGCTTTCTCAAAGGCCTCTCTTTGGCTTTCATTCAACCTCTTCACCGAAGCAGCACCTCTATTTGCCGCCTGCTTATAGTTGAAATCCGGCCTTGCATAACCACTCCATGGGATTTCCACGATAGGTCTACCCAGAACAGCGCTATGATCGTACACCCATTCTCGGGGTATAGCCTTCCACGGTGGCAACGAGTCTAAACCTTCAGGTTCTTGTTCGCGTTGCCCGCGGTTGTCACCCTCGTTCTCCTCGTCATCAGATCCTCCTTTGTGTTGCCCGCGGTGATCAAGTTTTTGACCTTCGGCTTGGGGGGTACCCTCACCGTTTGTAGGCTCTTGTTGATCGGAAGTGTTACCTTCCCCTTGGCAACCACAATTATTAGTCGAGAAACCTTCAGTTGTTGGGTGATCAATAGCATCTGGCGTAATCGCAGAGAACCATGGGGAGTTACCATCTTGCAACTCATCAACCGTAGGGCAGGTCAATTTTGGGTCACTCTCCTTAACCAGACTTACTATCAAAGATACCTGATATTGCAACCTAGTACTCTCTTCCGGAGGGGAAGATTTAATAGGTGCCACTGACGTAAGGTTTTTGACTTCGTCTGAGAACCTGACCCTTGACGAAACCCTATTACCATCAGACTCATCATTAGTCTGAACCTTAGAACCAGCTTCACTCAACATGATAGTAGTGTTCAGCTTTGCGAGTGTCGAACACCCTAGTAGCAAAGGAACTAGCAAGCTATTTGACGTAACCACGAAGTGGTCTATTATAGACCTTGAACCCACGGTAACCTTCAGCTTGACGCTACCATGTATCGTGAGCGTAGCACCATCCGCCACATTGACCTTGGGAATATTGGAAGTATCCAACTTCTTCTCCGGAGCAACCTCCTTCAACATAGATTCTGTAACCAGAGACACTTCCGCACCTGTGTCAAACAAAGCGGTGGTAAGTCTCCCCTCTAATATCACATGACCGAGAACCATTGGCACATGTAACCCATGTACCATTAATGGTGAATCACCTGACGAATCCTGTGACCCACTACCCTCGTCTCGGACAACTATGTGAACAGAAGCATTGGGTTTAGGGACCCTAGGCTTCGCAGGGGATGGTGAATCGTTCCTTCTTGCAGCAATCGGTGTTGTACGACACGTATAAGCCAAATGTCCCGGGAACCCACAGCGGTTACACTTCGCTCTCTCTAGGTTAACCCGACAATCGTCCAATTTATGGTTCACACTCCCACATCGTAAACACCTAGATTCCAGCTCAGCGGGCTGCTCCGCTTTGCAGTTGCGCGCGGAATGACCCATCTTCAAACACCGGAAACATTTAATTTGTGCTGCATCTCTACCCATAGCCATTAACATCTTCGGATCAAACTCGGCTTCTGACTCCGTTCCCTCAGTACCCACTGAGTGGACTGACGGGTTGCGGAACCTGCTGCCTGAATACCTCTCTCTGGAGCCATATCTCTCTCTTGAATCAGAGCGACCATCTCTAGCCCCATAGCTAGGTTTGGGACCCTCGAATTGAGTCACCTTAGATATCGGCTTAACCTTGGCGGCCTTAGCAACCACCTTTCGCTTAAACTTCTCATAAGAAATACCAATATCCTCCAAATAATCTTCCACCTTATCCCTCAGTCTATCGCTATTTAACCCTACATAGAGCCTCCATTTCAGGCTATACTCCAGGGGAGCAGCACCCAAGCTCCGTAGATAAGGTATCCAACTGCTTAACGAATTGGTCCACTGTATCCTTCCCTTGGACACAATTCTCCAATCTTTTCTGCACCTTCTGGAGGTGTTCATTGGTATCATAATACTTGCGAAAGGCCTTCTTCACTCTTCGCAGATAATATCCATACTCGCTCTGACAATTCCTCGGGGCATACTCCCCTCTTGTCACCCTACCCCAGGAGTGCGGTTCCGTATGATGTTTCAACCATAGGTACTTAACCACATAGGGATGACCCTCAGTTTTGTCTTCCATCTCTTCCAACCAAGCAGAACCCGACCTTTGATCCTCTCCACCTCTAAACCTATACGAAGGCTTTAACCTCAAGGCCACCTGCTCAGCCGTGTCGAACTCCTTTACAAGAATAATCGACCTCTTCTTGCAACGTCTATGACCACAACCTCTACAAACCTCTGTCCGGCCTCTGCCCCTCCTTCTTGGGCGAAAGGTAGAACCTCCCGTCAATCGTTGTCTCCCGGGCACATCCGAGTGACTTGTACCTCTACTACTACTTTCACCACTACTACCCGAGGGACTACCATCCGAACCGTTACTTCTACGCCTTCTGGTGAAAGAGTGATGATCTCTTGAGCTAGAGTCAGAGGATCTCTTCCGGCTTCTCCTGATACCTTCGCGTCCTCTTCGTGAACGTTGCCCGCGTTGGACACGTCGTCCACCCTTCGACGAGTCGGTAGAACTACTCTCACTCGAATAGTCCTTGGACCTTCTACTCTTAGTCTCACTCTTACCACCTCCTTCGTTCCTCTTAACCCTGGGTTGAGACCCAATATTGGATCTACCTCCACGGTCTCCGTACCTTGCTCGAGAGGTATGCCTTTGATCGCTCTTGCGACCCTTTCTTCTTCGAGCCGAACCTTCATACGACGTCACAGAACTTGAACTTGAGTCCATCCCATCAACGCTCGTAGTTGTTACTTTTTTATCTTTTTTAGCTTTATCATTAGAATCAATACTTGAATTAGGTTTGAGAACACTTATTGGAGCACTTCTGCCCTCGAAGGTATCCCCAAACAACTCCTCATGCACAATGGTATCTCTATCCTTGGAGCAGGTACTCTTGGAACCCTTCTCCTGGTAGTCGGAACCACGCTCATCATCAACAGGCTCGATGAACATTGATGATACGTAGTTGGATAAGTTAGGAAACAGGACCAGACTGACATTAGTACAATTAGCCGGCATAACAACGCCTTCTACACCACAACTTCTCTCAGAGTATTCTACAGCTCCTTTAACCTCTCCTGAGACTCTCTTCCCTAAATCAAGCTCGAAGGACCTTACACTGCGAACCGTCGGCTCGGGAATATGAGCTCCTCCTCTTGAGCTCGCCGATGGCAGCAAAAATCCTAAACCCGCAGCTAGATCCCACGAACCTTCGACCTGACCACTCTCCAGGTCTGATGGATACCCTGGATACTGTCCCTCCCCATATCGAGAGCCAGACCAACACAACCAATTGGGTACAAAGGGGAGAGTTTTACTCCCTTCCCATCTCGAACTCCGAGCAGGGTTACCCTCAGAGACTCCTAAATGGCGTCCGAAACCCGACGGTAGAGGCGCCAAACCAGTACCAGCATAATCCACCTTTGTCGTAGAGTAAATTCGTAACCTTCCCTCCTCAACTGCGATAAGGTCGAAGGACCCTCCTGTCGATCCGCCGACAGTGAGAGATGTCTCCCCCGAGTGCGAAACCATACGCCTCCCGAGAGAACAGGAGATACTGCACGAACCCTCTAACGACCCCAGAGATTTTGGAGACTGACCAACATAACCATAGCGGTACAAAGGGGAGAGTTGAACTCCATTCCCATCCCAGAACTCGAGCAGGGTTACCCTCGATGCCATTTCTACGGCGTCAGCACTCCTAACCCCCGGCACCCTAGTTACAGGTACCCCGCGACTGGTAACGGGATTCCCTGTGCAAGTTCTAGGGCAGTCTTGGGATGCAGAGTCTAGAATAGCCGTCCCAAGACCTATTTCATAAATTACAGGAGTTGAAGAACTTGACTGGGTAGGGGCCGTGGCCATGCTTATTCCATGACCATCTTGCTCACCTACCTCTGGACCGTCAGCCGGGACCAGCCGAGCGCGTTCTGGACTTCTAACCCCTACCGGCCTATCAAAATAGTCGCAAGTTCCATCCGATAGACTCAGTCGACAATCGCCCGGATAATGACTGCCGGCGAGATCGCAGTTAGAGTAAGAGGTATAGCATCCATCACTAACGAGTGGATCCCTCATCCACCTTTCTCCTATACCCCGACTTACTGAGTGGGTGGTACCCTTTTGACCCTTATCCCCGCGTACCCTGGCCAAAGGCTGCGATGATACGGTCACTGGATACCCAGACGACTGTAATACCCATAGGACGAGTCTCCACCAAACCACAAGGCATAGTCGTAACAGTACTTCTCTATCGTCATAATCCATCCATCTGCGATCCCTTCCATGACGATGACCCATTTGCTCACCCGTTGTCGACATTAAGGTGAGACTCAAAGATCCCTCTTGCGATGGCCCTTGAACATGAGGCACGGGACCTAGGCGTTTCAACCCGTGTTCCTTCGGACCATCCGGTGGGCCCTTAGTGACCTCAAACCGTCCCGATTCCCCGCACCCAACGGACTTCAACCATTGCCGCAAGGTTGCCTGGCACCTATATAAAGGAGCGTATTTACCCAGACAGGGAGGGTTTTGCTGCGTTGCCGCTCGCAGCTGCCCAACTCTCCACGGAGGGGCTCGGCTCCCGCCTTGACGGGCCATCCGGTCCACATCAGCCCAGGTTGTCGCCTTGGGAATCGCCAGTTCCACGCTGCCCGGTAGCGTCTCCTGTGAGTCCGCCCCGTAACAACGCTTTCCTAGGGGTTGAGAATCATCGTAGCATTCATCAACGCTGGAACCCTGCAAATCCTCAGTACCAACCGCGGCACGAAAAGAAATGCAACCCCCAACGCAACGCTCCATGCCCCGTACATTCACACCCCCCTCCCCGAAAGGAAGCGACCCCTGCACTATTACGCTATAAGCCTTTCCTTCTTGAGGTTCTCCTTCTCCCAAGGGCGGGTCGGAGATCATAGGACCCACTTCCCTATGCCCCATATCGTCATAACCAATACCCTCGAAAGTACCATCATATCCATCATTATCCCCAGAACCTCCACCATTATCCTTGGTACCTTGTGGTAACTCGACCTTCCTACGCCCCTTCGCAACCTTCATACCACTCTTCAGCGAAAGGCGTACCTTATTTCCGGCTTTCCTTACTCCGGAAACCTGTTTCGTCACTGACAACGCCCTACTGTCTACGGACCTTAATCTTCTACGATCTACTACATCACGTGGACCGCATACAGATACTGTTCCAGGACACTCTAAAGAATCCCGATCACAGGTCGGATCGATCCCGGTAGAATGTGCGTGTGGGCGATTGGGGACGGCACTATTACCCGAAGGAATAGAATTTGTGGATGGTGTAACCACAACCGAACCCTTGCCGACGCTGGCTGCGTTGATACCGCGAGCCTTACAACCCCAAGTACTAGTTGATCGAACCGACGGACTCTGCCTTGTACTGACGCGTGACGTATCCTCAGTGCACTTGCGAATAAGTCTCGGAGAACGGCGAACACCCTCTGACATATGAGCGGCCTCACTACGTGCTCCACTTCGCGTTAGAACCATGACTACTATCAACTCAAGGTCTGAACTACTGGATATACAAGCTACCTTCTGACCAACGTAACGTGCTTGCACCGTAACTAGACGTCAGTTGCGTACCTCAACAGTGCAGTAAGTGAACCAGGAACTCTGTAGCGGTCCAGAGTTTAGTACACTCAACTACCGAGCTTACCAACAACAACTGCTCAGCTTCTGCTTCACGCAACGCGCAAAACAGCCGCTGCACGCAGACACAATGTCTCGCGCACTTACAGACTTAAGAATCCTCAACGTTGGAAGAATGCCACTGCGGTATCGCACAACGTCCTCTTCCAACCCATTGTCGGCAACCGATGCACGCACGTCAGCTTCCACCTTGGCCAAATCGAGCTTCTCAAAGATAGAACCAGGGGTAGTCATAGTACTTGTGGTAGGTGTTCAAGACTTTTCTGACTAGTTCTGAGCAACAAGGAGTTGCTACCAGAATGTGAGGATATCCAGTCGGTTAGATATACTCGGGGGTTGGAGTCACTTAAGAACTCAAGTCAGGAAGGGGTAGTGTAGGGTTAGCTACGGTGGAAGGTAGAAGGAACTCAGTAGAAGTACACAAGACTTGATAGTCCGTAGTACAAAGACTCGGAAGTTCTTCCTGGAATTCCACAATGAGCAAAGAATTAGCTACAGATTAAAGGCGAGCGAGATCTAGTCTGTTCCTTCCGGGAATAAGAAGATAGACAGTCCCGGAGGTCACGCGAGACAAATACCAAGGTAACTCTAGCTCATGAGTGAGCTAAGGAAAGTCCATGGCAAGTACTCAAGTAGTCCAAGCGAACACCATACGCAACGTAGTGGCGTAAACAATAGTGGACGAGTCAGGCCCTGAGAAGGATTGTGCGGGTGCTCCAAGAGCACAATGCACACACGTGAAACGACAAACCAGGTCACGTGACTCACGTGACCTGGTCACGTGACGTGAGGAGTCCACATCACACCTTAGAGGGGTCCCTAAACTGTAGCGGTTGCGGCCCCATATCTACACTCAGGTAATAGTCGTACCCAGCACGACGTTTTGATTCATGGTATCTGGGAGAGTGCGGAGATCGTCTCCAAGAGACGCGCCACCAGCAGAGGTTCAATTGTGCGCTCGGCCCGTGACGCCGTGCCGGAGTTGTTCATGCGTCACGCGTGATGCACATCGGTGTGGGGTGCTCCTAGCACTGATGGGATTTCAAGTCTGGAATATTAGACTAATATTATTAGTTCGCCAGTAACGAGTCGCCATCTTATCCTTGTGCTATCTTGTGCTTGTAGCATGATGCTGGCAGGCTCGTGTACAGGATTCTTGTAACGGCTCGTCCTTACCACGGTCGTGTTAAGGATGGCTCTTTTTCAGTTTTTCGACCAACTCTAACTCTCCACCTGCCACTCATGCGCTTCACTATTCTCGTCCTCGCTGCAATCGTCATGGCCGCGTCTGCTATCGTCGACAGTAATCCCAAAGATAATTCCTCATCTAAGCGTAACCTCAATGGTGGTGGAACCAATTGCGTCTGCAGTTCTCACGGCTGTATCTGTAACTAACTTTTTCCCAGCTCCAGTTACTGGGCTCATGCTCTTGGTACCATTAGTGTCCCTTGAGTACTGAGCGGCTTTAACTCGGTAGAGCTATTTGCCTGAGGTCGGTGAGGTCTGTCCAAAATGGCTATATCCAATCAATTCTTTGTATCCCTCATTTTTACTCGACACCAGCATCAACTGAGAAACCAATGTTGGGTTGACCGTGAGTGGGTTGGTGAGGGAAAATGTGCAATGAAGAATATAATACCATATGTGTGTGCTAATCACTAGAGAACCCAAGACAATGTTTAATGGAATCCAGAGAGTCTATCTACGATCATACTCATAAAATCATCAACTGGCTTCAAGCTAAAGCTAAGATTCCATAGTTGTGCATTCTGCCTGGCAGACCCTGCCAGCTCTGAATTAAACACCGCCGTTGGCTGACATGAAGCCGATATGCTAGAACTCCAACAGTGACCTCTCTGTTAGGGCATCTAGCTTATCCGAACGCTGCCACAAGGAGCGCGAAAAAGGAAATGGATTATTTTAGCCCCTCCGGACATACTCAGGGTTGACATCCGAGTTCTATTTTTCCGCCACAAAGTAAGGTGTAAAACCCGCCACTCAAAGAGCCGTCAGAGCTCATGACACACCACACATTTTCAACCTCTATTTCACCACTAAGAACTACAACTTCACCAGGCGAGCGAGTTCGTGCGCCAAGATACCCTACAGAAACTCGAATTTCGACGGTCCGCGGTTTGGGGAACTTCATTCTCGTCAACACGTCGGTTTAGGAACATTAATTTCGTTGGCAAGTCGATGAAGGAACTTTGATTTAGACATAATAGTAAGTCCTTTTTCGCATATAGGAACATCAATCTCGGTAGAAGCCTGCGATCGACCTGCAGCAATCCTAATTACCAACTCCAACCCGCATAACTTGCACAACTCAAAATCTTTGGTTTATAATCAAAATGGTAGAGGGATGAATTCCATCATTCACGTGATTTTTTACTCCTCACTAACTACAAAGAGTTAGACCCTGAAACTTGAAGGTCATATCATGTGTATCAGAAGAGCACCCCTCCTTGATCCGCAAGATGGAACTCGTTGAGGTGACTGTGCACGAGTCGAAAAACCGGATATGCTGAGAATATGTGGAGGGGTGTAGTGATCGAAACTTGGTACGGTACATGCTTACTTCGGGAGAGAGAAACATATGCTCGTGATAGCGACAGATAGGTAGCGGAGCTAGTATGCAACATCTCTTGAGGATGATAAGCTCAAGGACTATCGTCAGACGCCCATTGTGCTCACCAGCGGTTGCACGCATGTGTGCATTGAATAGTGCACATTGTGCTAGCACAAGGCACACTACCCTCCGGGTAGTACCCTGATACAAGTAAAGAGCGATAAAGAACTCCGTTCAGTAGTTCAAGTAGTTCAGTAGTTCGGTAGTTCGAGCAGTTTAGTTACTAACTTCAAACTACTGAACTTTAATAGTTTGGTAGTTCCTCAGATGATATGCAGTTCATTCCAGCACATGGTCACTGTTCGCGTAACGTGTACGCTCTGATGAGCAGTGCTAATGTGCTCCTCGGATCTACCCGTCGTACTTTTTCAGTTGCGAATCAGGGAGCGTTAAATTATCGCGTGGCCTTCTGGTTTTCTGTCATGTGGTCGTGACTCATAGTATATAACACGAGTCGGAAGGAGTTGGAAAGACCTCTGTCTTAATCTATCCGGGAGGATGGGTGATGCATATACGTGTAATCACGCACAATGGGTAGAAGAAGCAGTAACACTTTCCCCTCCGAATGAAGTCGATCGATGATGGATAGTACTATAAACTTGATTGTGTGAAGTGAATGAGTTAGTTAGTGCCTAAGAGGTTGTTGGAACTTGACACGCGTAGGTAGGTCAAGAGGATGTAGTTGAGAGCAGTTCAAGAGATCAGTTTCGGTGACGAAGTAGAGGGAGTCCAAGTCACGAAGGCTTAGATATTTGATGAGTTCCTCAAGAGCTTGTGGGGAGTTAGTGAGAGCCTCATTAGCTATGCACATACGTGCCATCGCGCACAATGGATAGAAGCAGGAACAGTTGCAGTTATCGCAGCGAGTACCCTATCATTATGAAGCCAATCGTATATCATGTTGGTGATGTCTTTCGCTAGCAACTTGAGGAGTCATTTCTTCATCTTCCAACTGACCACTACGGTAGTGGTCAGTAGCACTACGAAAAGGATCACTCGAGTCAGTTGAATCTTCCAGTGTCTCGCAATCACTCCGTCCTGATGTCTTTCAAGAAGATCATCGCCATTCTGGGCACCTTATCGATGGTTAAGTGCTTCCCACCCAGCAAAAACTACTGCACCGACTGGAACCGGGATTTTACTATGGTTATCTTGTTCCCCACAGGTTATCCTGACTTACTCGTGATGAGTTATTGCTACTCAAACGGAGGGAATCGAATAATTGGCGCCACTGGTACCATTCCTTGGACAGTTGACGCTGAAAAAACCACACTATTTATGAATACCACTAACAAGAACTTCACTGGCTTCGTTAACCTTATGCACTTCAATAAAGCCGAATGGGAAAAGATCCCCTACAGCGGCAAGCTAGAGGAGTTCATATTGTCTGTAAATGGTACTCATATTGAAGCAACTAATGGACTGTGTCCCTGGTGAGTGTGGTGTGGTAAAGCGCTCATGAGCATCTCACGAGTTTATCTGGCTTATCCAGAGGACTTCAACTTCTTGAAAGCTATCTCATTTCATTCAATCATCATTTCCCACCCAGTGTTATAGGAGTCAATGTTGTGGCTCCGGTTTTTGGGCTTGATGGTGAATAGGTGATGATCACTAGACCGCCGCTGGGCGGATGTGTGAGAATGACGAGCCGACACAATCGTCTGAACCCCGCACGACAGGTAAGTGTTATTTGTGCACTCAAGCTAGAATGCATGCACAAGATCAGCTGTGATTTTCGAATAACGATGATCGCCT